TTCGCGTGACAATAACCCTATGACGTCACTTCAGTTGCGTGACGGTCTTCTGGTTAATGAGAAAACTCATTTTAACAGTCAAGAAAATACATGTTGCTAGCGCTAGGAAGATATTATCAGTATTGATATTATTATTATGATCATTATTGTTTTAATCAATTAGTGTTATGCATTAAAATAGTTGCATTTCACCACATGGTTTATATTATTATTCAAACTTCAAATACAAATACAGTCTAAGCCCTGTCCAGAATTACAATATCATCTTTTTATTGAAAAAAAAAAACCATGTGACATACCTGAATATGGTCATGATGACATCACGGCATGACCATATATAGGCACATCGTGCCCATATGGGCATACTGTATACATATTTTGTCAAATAAAATTTTATATTCAGGACTTTATAGTACTAATATTCTTCTATTCTTCTATTCCAATTTTTAAGAAAATGCCTAAGACACACCTTTTTAAATCCTATTGTGTCTGTTTAAACCAAATTAATACCGTAAATTAAATTTGTTTTTTGTTTTCTTTTTGTTAGTTAAGGTTAGCTTAAGCTGTAATTAAGTAGGACTTTAAACTGCATCTGGTCAAGCTGTCGGCGACTAATCCGACAGCCCCTCAGATGTGTCTTAGCGGCTGCTGAGGGGAGGGTGCTATGGTCACCCGGAAGCCAGTAGCAGCGCCAGCGGGGGCAGGGAGCTTAAGCCCCTTATCGGGCATGTCAAGGCTCCCACCGGCCACCCTCGTCGGGCAGTCGGACCAAAAAAAAAAAAATTAAAATAGGCCTACAGCAAGCCAAAACATGCCTTCACAGTCGTAGTGCCACTTCCGGCCATCCACAGGTCCCTATTTAAATATCTCATTTGGGAGGGGGGAACCCCCTCCCAAACCCTGGATGGAGGGAATGTATCCTAGCAAGAATAGAAACAACTAAACAAAGGGCGGATGAGCTCCTTGGCGAGTCAACGGCCATACATGTTTAGTTTAAGGAATAGGTTTAGTTTAACGATTATAATTTTTTTTATACTTCTGTTCTAATTTTTTTACATTTTTTTAAAATTTATTTTTGTTAACTGCATAAATAAGAGCAGGATCCACCACTTTTACGGTTTTTACATTGAATTTGACACTCGGCACTATGGATCCGCCGGAAATAGCGAGGTATAAATGTTTACAGATATCACTTGACAGCTCATAATACAAAAAAATAATGCTGGCTATAATTAAATGACATTATGATGTAATAGCTAAATTGTTTGGATTCATCCGTCTTATATAATAGAAACAATGTCTGGGTATGGACTGAGATACAAAATTGAAAATAAAAACCTGAAGTGTTGCTCAAGAATGCTGTAAATTTTTGACGTAACCGAAGGGGATGGGAGAGGGCTGGCCTCCTGACAGGGAGGGTCTTAAGCTCTCTGTTCCTACTCGCAGACTGTAACGTTTGTAATAATTCATTTCAAATCTAATAAATTTCATGTTCGCATGGAGTAACTAAATACAAGAAAATACAATACAATGGAGTAACTACAAATACAAGAAAAATTATAATCGCATTTAGATAAACAGTAAAAGCTTTAAAGCAGAGTTCTATTCAAATTCAAATTCAAATGTTCTTTATTTACAATTTAGTAAACAGAATTGAAGAATAACAACAAATTCTCAAAAATCAATACGATAAGAAACACTACAAAACAGATTTAACTTACGAATCAAAAAATAGGAAAGTAATGGAATTCACAAACAAATAAGTAAATGCGTTAAAAATGATTAAATTAACAATTACAAATAATTAAAAAAATTAATTATGAGCCAGTATTATAATGCATATATTAAAATGAGATCGTTTATTTTCTTCTGATTTTGTTCATATGTGCGATCCAGATCGTTTTGCTCTTATCGCACTACAGTACGTACACTAGTTACGGTATTCTTGTATTTTTTTAAACAGAGTAGAACAAAACCTAAAACACTTTTTCCTACGAGTGAGTATATATTTCGCATATTCCTAATATTATAATTAGTTCCGGTTTAATTAAAAACGAATTCTTAAAATTAAACAGTGGAAACGTGCAAAGAAATAATTAAATTTTTGTGGAGGCATGCATCTTGCAATTATGGAGGAAGATGCATACACCCACACTACTCTCTATGCTGGGGAAATGGAGCTCATTATTGCAAGCGATGAACGTACTAACCAAACTTACTACCCATGCTTTTCGCTCAGATTTGAACGTGTGATAAATTTAAACGGACTTCATAAATTAACCATCATTCGTGTCAATATTTACCCTTGACCACTGAATTAATTATTATGTGAACGAGAGTGAACTAAATTGTGAATATGTTCATGATTTGAAGGTGATATAATGGTAGATGAAATGATTGGCTTGAGAAAATATTTGGGATAAAATTAGGAACATAGAATTTTATAGACTAGGAAATTAAAAAAAATGTTGTATGCCTATAAAAAGACATGATATGCCTATATATGGTCATGATGTGATGTCATCATGACCATATTTAGGCATGTACCATGTTTTTTGTCAAACAAAATTTGGACAGGGCTTTAGTTTGAACACAGGCAGAGTCATGACAGCTGAATTTGAAATGAACGAAGAAATCGGTTACTCGAAGGACGTAACTGACTGAAGATTAAAAGAGCATGACAAAAAAAAATGTGACATGCCTAAATATGGTCAAGATGACATCACGTCATGACCATATATGGCGCATCATCGAAAATGAAACAAGAGATGTTTATGTAATTATGCAGAGGTTTGAAAGAAACGCCTAAAGTAATCGATGGAGTAGTAGAAGAGTAGAGTTATATCTCCATGGTTATATTAAAAGGACCGGCGGAAACGCAGTTTACAAGATAACAACGATTTTCACTTCCCGTGGACGCCATCACTACGGCCTACTCCCGACAGGGCTATAAATGCGAATATTAATAAACGAATTGATTTACATCTGGACTGGAACGGGTATGATTGTTTATTAGGCTAAATTATTCGGATGTCATAGATTAATAATAAAAAAGTATGATAATTTATTGATGTGTGGTAGTCAATAACATAAAAAGTACACATACATTTTTTTATGATTTCTTTCAATAATTAAAAATTAATATTACGCCCATATGGAGCTCTTTTAGATATCAACATACATCCGACTCAGAATATGTTGACACTATCCTCATCGTTATGATGGGCCTAATTATAATAATAATAATTGTCGACTTATATAGCGCATATTGTAGGGACCTCTATGCGCTTACAATATTACCCCCGGATCACTGGAGCAAACACATATGGAACATACACTCAAGCCCCATGGGGGAATTTCATAATGTTGCAGATGTATTCAGCGCAGGCTGTGCTTGAACCTACCAGGTACCCACTTGTACTCCTGGGTGGGGAGAGACAACCGTAGATAAAGTGCCTTGCCCAAGGACACAAGCGACTTGCACAGCGAGAGTTTCGAACCCCCGACTTTAAGGTTGGGAGTCCAACCCACAACCGATTATGTCTTTGGTTGCAAAGTATGTTGGTCTAGGAAGTCGTCTCCCAAAATTACCACATTGCTTTGGTTTTTCGAATGTATACTATAGCCTACTTATATTTAAAAAAATATAGGCTAAAACTTTCAGGAGTTTCCATAATGATGTAATTACTGATGTATACATAAACATTATTTTGGCTAGTGTTGAATGCATATATATTTAAGTGTTTATAAATGTTGTATAAACGAATGATGTACTATAATATTAATTAATTTAATGGTTATGCTCTATTCTCAACACATCATTATACTATACTGTATTATTTATTATTATTCGTTACTATTGGGCATAACATTATTATTAATATTTAGGTCTATTATTATTAGTTGTAGGCCTACAACTTTTATAATCTACTCCTACAGCAAAATGTTAACGTACGGCACCATCCTACCGGCACTGATCTGCTGCCGACCAGCATTGTTTTTCAATGATTTTGTAAACTTCAGAAACATAATTAACGAAATATCTTACCCTAAATTCACGAACTTCTAACAGTAAACGCCCTTTAAACACCATTCACTAAGAAAATAACTGCAGATACACGTTCCCATGGTTACTTTGATTGTTAATTAACTACCTTGCGCTGGATAGGGCCAAAACATGGCCATTCGTGCTGAACAAGTAAGTGTGCACGTCTGGAGAGTGATGAAAATACCCAAAGTGAATTCACGTGGCTGAGCACGTGCGACAAGACCTGTTCAACTGATTGAAAGTTTAGCATTTCAGTAC